CTGTCTGTCTGTCTGTCTGTATGTACTGGTATGTAGGTATGTATGTATGTGTATGTAACTTGCATACATCTATGCATCTATGCATCTAAACATCTGTACACCTATACTCATGCACGGGACCCACTACTTAATACCATTACCGAGTACCAGTACCTAAACATGCACATGCACATACAAATACTTACAAATACATACAGTTAAATAACAGCTACATACATACATACCTTCGTACCTACTTATGTACAGACATACACACATACATGCATACTTCTCCTTCGCACGCCGCAAGGACGGCTGCACACCTTGATCAGGTGCCCTTCGCTCATTAATTACTCCACTCCACGATGCCGTGCGATCATCAGCGTCCAAGCAATAGCAGAACATACGATGCAATACAACAAGCCCCTCCCGCCCAGCGTCCCCCCCCCGCCCCCCCATAGGCGGCGGGAAACGATGCGCACAGCAGTCAAAGCGCCGCGACAGGCCAAGAAAACTGTCCATATGCCGACTCGACTGTGCATCTAATGCTTCGCATCAGCCGAGCACACACACATATATACATACAGACTTACATACGTACTTACTTTGATGCATACTTACTTGCTTGCCTACTTACCTACATGGGGCAAATCGACAGACGAGTCGCTGAGGAATTCATCAGTCCCTCCGCGCTGCCTTCCTGCACGCACCTGGGCGGGTTGATCGGCTCAACCAGTTTGATAAGCTGCGACCGCGAACGTGGCATCAGCCTGTGTTTATGAAGCCTAGCAACCAGATCTGGAATCTGAGGCTACGAACTAGCTGACTCCCAAATGCTTTCAATCCGCGCAACGGTGTGGACTTGTGTGACAATTGCGGTGCCCTACTAAAGATCACGAAGTTCATAGTGTCCTCACGTCCAGTGTCCGACAAAACATAAATCACAAGTTACCCAAAAAGGGCAGTTTAAGACCCACCCTTGTGTGTGTGTGTCAAAAATTGGACAAGCATGAAGCAACTGTGCAAGCACTCGTTGTGGCTGCCGGGAGAGGCCGCTATGATAATTCTTCTGTGGCACCATCTTCTCCATCGCTTTGCCAACGTGTAGATCCAAATCCGGGAGCAGTTTGGCAACCTGAACCTGCAGCCACCAATGAACTCGTGACATGCATAAAGCTGTTAAAACATCTGTTCCGACTCCAGCTCAAAGATTTTCACACCTTCAAGGCTTCGAACTTCTCTTTCCGATCCTCCACCGTGGACCTAAGGGTTGGATCATCCGTTCCGACTTGCTCGTGCTCCTAGCTTTCATGGCAGGACATGACCGGCAGTGCGATCGCGCCACATCATCGTCTTGTCTCTTGCCATGACCTTGAAGATGGCGACCAGGGCCTTCCCAGCGAGAACGAAAGTTCCTCTAGCTCGCGAGGAGCTTGCAATGCTTACACTCACCCGCCCACCGCATCGAGCAAGTCGACCATCTGGGACTGGCAGTAGTTCCTCGGCTCAGCGTTGCAACAGAAGCCCCAATTACTGCTCCCCTTCCTCTCCGAGTTTGGGTAAGCAAGAAGAGAGTTGGTTTCTTCGGGCCCCCTTTTTCGTCCAAGGCTCTTCATGCCACGGAACTTAGAAAGCATGCTATGCCCCATCGTGGCAACCTAGGTGCAATCAGACAGTGAAAAGTCGGAACTTCTACCAACTCACGCAAACGTGAAACTTTGCCGCAACCAAGGTGCTGCTGCAACCATAATGGCATAGGGGATTAAGTCCGTAGGTCTGATGAGTGAGCCCAGGACTACCCACACCAGTGCCTTGGCACTGACCAAAGCTCTCCTCTTGATACTGATTTGCGACGCATGGCATAGCTACTGAAACTCCGTTACGATAACCTCTGATTCAAAGCAGAATCAAGCCGCATTTGTCAGGATCAGCGTGGTGCCGGCCACCAAGATCGAAGTAACACCTCTGCACACGCAGTGACCAGTTTGGACAGTTTGGACCACCACAGGACGATTCGCGCAGCCGAGGTTCACATGATGAAGTTGTCCGCCTTGCTGAAGAACCTCGGTTGGAGTCCCCGGTTTCGTGCCAAAAACGAAGATTTAACATGGATAGCAGCTTGCACAGGGCTGAAACCACTGCCAAGCTGAAAAAACACAAGTCGGGCTTGTCTTCCAATCATGTGGACCCACCCTTGCCAATAAGCAGATCTTCGCCGTTCAGAATGTAATCATGATTTACTGATTACGTATATCACTACGATCAGTACCACTACCACGGCTATCAGTATTGCTTATCGTATCATATCACATCATATCAGGTCATATCATACCATGTTGTAACATAGCATACCATGTCGTGCACACATAATACCGCAGCATGACATAGCATAGCATGGCATATCATACAATATCATAATTCATGTTGTTGTATGGTGTATGACAGATACTGAGTATGTTTCTTTTTTCTAAGGCAGTATGCATTGATGAGCACCGTATATGATTATATTCTGGTGTGTTAAGGGCTACATCGAACATATGGAGTGTACTGTCGTGCACGACGTTGAAACGTACTACTGCACTATACAGTATTAAACTATAAAGCGTTTTACTATGTGATCTGATGATATGCTATGCTATTTCGCTTTATCTTATGCCATACGGCTATACTACAAACGTCAAGCTAACGACGGGTTAGCCAAATCCTACGGAAGGTGCAGTGTCCCTTTTTGGTCGTAGCGCGAACTGCGCCCCGCCCGAAACTCGGTGCCGGTGCCGGGGTGCACCCTTCTGCGCCCGTCCCAGTACCGCTCGAGGGGGCGAGTGCCGGCCAGTAGTCTCCACGTCAAATTTGACACCAAATCCCCTCCAAGGGGCGAGGGCGGGAGACATGCGTTACACCGCAAACGTAATGCTCACGACGGGTTAGCCAAATCCTATACAGAAGGTGGAATGCCCCTTATTGGTCGTAGCGCGAACTGCGCCCGGCCGGGCACTTGGGCGGGGGCGATGGCTTGACAGCGGCGCTCTGGCCATGGCGTCCAAAACTGGCGGTCCGCGCCGACGACGCCTTCGTCCACCTCCAAGCAGCCGATGGGGTGCTCCGGGAAGGGCACTCTGGAGGGGTCGGCTTGGCCGCCGCATCCTGTTCTGCCACCGATGTAGTAGGCGCCGACAGCGTGGTAGTCGGCAGTGTAAACGCCGACGGCGTGGTAGTCGACGATGCCGGGCTCGAAGTCACCATACGTCTTGGTGTGGTGAAAGGCGCCACATCGACGAGTGGCTGGGCGTCTGCTGCGCCTTGGGCGGGGACCAGACGATCTCTGTCCTTAGGGGACAGCGCCCTGACGGCCGCCGTCAAAGCCTCGACTGAAGCGCTTGCCACAAAATTAGTGCTAAAGCGTGCCCCGTCCGTCTGGACCCGACGTCACGGCAGTTGAAAGGGTCGACGAGGGGCACCGTCCCAGCCGGAGGGGTCGAAGAGGTCTCCGGCTCGGGCTCGATGCCAGCCGTGTCGCCCGACGTGGGCTCCACGGCAATGTCCCCTGCGCCGGTCGCGGGCAGCTCCTCGGATCAGGCGACGAGGTATTATAGGATGTAATCGGCACCGAAGCCGTAGCGGCGTAGTGGGTGCCACTACCAAGTCGACGCCCGCCGCTGCCGCAAAGTCGGCAAAGGCGTCGGCGGTGCCAGGCGAGGAAGAGCCGGAGAAGGCCATGATGCGACGAGTGGCGAAAGGATAAAAGGAAGTTCAAAAGGCAGATCGAGCTGATAGCTTCGAAGGATCGCCCGCGTTTATACCTACACGAACAAATAATACTAGTACTAGCCTTCTGCCTTGTGATTGTGTTACGCCATGGTATAGTGTACACCGGTTGTTTCGCTTAAATGATCAGGCGGCATGTCTCGGCTCCCGCGAATTGGACCACATCACTATATTGCACTGCACTACACGATGTGGTACAACGTAAGATGTCGCATCATGCTACGTTGTACTTTATTATGTTCTACTAGCTTACATGTCTCTACTACATGGTATGCCACATTCCATAACATCAGCAGTGCATGTGAAGGATGAGCATATGTGACATATGTGATATGATGTTAAACCGTGCTGAGTCATACTTAAGGGCTGTGCCAGGCGTGGGCAGCGAAGGCAGTCCTCTCCGAGAGCTAGCACATCATAGGTACAGTTTGACTCCAGGTATAGATGGTATAGAAGGCAGGCCCTGAACACCCCCAAACCGCCGCTCTTCCTCCAAGACAGAAACCCAAAATCCTAGCAAGTGCTCTCAACATCATCTTCCTAGCCTTGAGCGCCACCCCCACGCGGCTGATGTGCATGATGCGCACCCGCGGTGGCCCACGTCAAAACCCCAAGGCTCTAAAAGCAGCCGTTTGAACGAGAAGACATTCCGAGAAAAGGTTTTTAACATCATCTTCCGAGGCTTGAGCGCCACCGCCAGCCCACCAAGTCCACACCCCAAGGCTCTAAAAGCAAAACCGTCGAAACCAGGCATGCGGGGCAACAGGTTGCGGAGGAGACGATTTGGCACCACCCGTGGCGGGCATGCTGGGAATACGCGAAAACCTCAATATTTACAACATTTTCGCTTGCCACAGCCAACACTGACCGAGATAGCCACGCGAGACCCGGTCGTCCAAGCGCTCAGCCCTGAGGCCCCACAAATATCACGCACGGCCACAAAACAAAAGGGATGAAAGACGCGCGATGATGCAGGGTCGGCGGCGTTGGCGGTCGCCTTGCAAAGGCTTCGCCTTTGGAGCTTCGCAAATTCGCTAAGCTCGTGCCGCCGCCGGGGCCGCCCCACAGAAAGGGTCCGCTGCGCTGCCCGATTTTACTGAGTATACTCTACTACAGTACAATTTCTTAAGCATTCTCGTGCATGTGAGGATATGTCGTATCTTGGCTAAGCTCCCCAAGCTTGTGAGGCACATGTGCCCGCGTCTCGCATTCAAGCTTCTACCCTATGTTGTGCTGTACCAATGTAAAACGATGATATATGCCATCACTTCTAGACTACGCATACATACATCATAGAACAGACACGTGCACACATATATGCATACAAAATAAATAACACACATTCATATGCCCGAACTCGAACAGATTTTTTTGCCTCACGCCTGGCTAGGACGAGCCTACGATGCAGGGTCCGATGTTGGCATGACAGTCAAACTCACACACGATCTGCTGCTTTGCAGCGCCGCTTCTATAGGTCGACAGGCAGTCTAACTCGAACAGATTAGATTTGCTTGTGGGTGTGTGTGCGCGCAGAATCTGCCTACATGTAGGTCTCTGCAAGACCAAGTCATTTCACAAGAGTGCGTCCATGCCTAGATGCACATTACATGCCCGCATGCGAGTACCCGCGTATACGTGTATATACGCAGACCTCGTGGCGCCGAACAAGGCAATCAATGAAAAGCAACCCTCCCGGCCTCAATTAGTTGCAGCATCTCTCTTAGTGGGACCGGACGTACATACTGGGCTTTGTATCCAGCAAAGCAATCAGCCAACCTAGAAACCGTCGATTTGCGTCGGAACCGGGGTTCTAAAGGTAAACTCGTCGGTCGAGCTTAAAAGTGCTCTGCAGAAATCCGAGCTGCTACACAAAAAACATTGCTTCTGCAACAATGGATCAGGCAGGGAGCCCATCCCAGGGCAACGGCTTCGGCACCCCAATGACCATGCCTGGAAGTTAGCAGATCGGGACAACGTGTGCTTGCTTGGAGCATCGCGACAGACATCAGTCTACAAAGCACCGTCATCTTTCATCGTGGATCTTGCCCTCTGTCCCAATCTATACAGCCTTACTTGCAGCGCTGCATGCTTCCAAGCTGCTGTATGCCACAGTCGCTGCAATCAGAATGAGATATGCCAGCGAAAAGCCTGCGGCTCAAGCATGTCAGCAAAAAGTTGAACTTTGGCAATTACACTTTATGTTGGCCTGGCCTAGGACCAACTGCGCCGAGAAATCCAAGTTCACGAAGCGAAAGACTGTCCTAATCTGCACCAGATCCATTACGAATGTCCACAGTGCACACGGCGCAAGCCACAGGGCTAAACACAACCCTTACCTAACTCGTCTTGCTCTGAAGTCGCAGAGTTTTCGGGCGCTGTCTAACGCTGAGACTGCAATCCTGCGAGCTACGTCATCTGGATGGGTGACACGACATGACTGATGACCCAGCTGCTCAGTCAACACTGATGAGTGGAGCAAAGCCGGGCACTTGGCTTGAACTGGGTCAGGCGAATGCCATCGAAGCACCCAACGTTTTCTGTACACGTGAATCCTCGTCAACTGACAAGGGCTGGAATGGGCTGGAATGCTGCAGCGGCATCATTGAACCAGGGCAAACTAGCCGCATCTGCGTTGATGGACCTCCACAGAATCGGCACAGTGAAATACCTGACCTGTCGAGGCTGGCAGCCACTGGACCTGCCTCTTGCCGCCACTTTTCATCACGTCCTCCAGCTTCAGCCTGGCGGCTTAGAAACTCGCTTTAGCAGACTTTAGCAAGTCGCAGGTTACAACGTTGCCGCACCGTCAAATAACTTGACCTGCTAGTACAAGACAGCCCAGTGGTGTCATTACAATACACTGAGACAAAACCGTACAAGTGCCCCAACTCAATAGGTGGTGTTGACTGCTCACATGCGCGCGATGTCCAGTCCTATCACAACGTCGTTGCAACAAGTCAAGGCTTTGCAAGCGCCAGCACGCTCCAGGACCCTATCGAGGACTCTTGTATCTAACAGTGGCCATGAGCGCTGCACACCTGTTTCTCCCCAGTGCTGAACTGTTGTGATCTGGAGATGTCAGCATCTCCGAAGCCTGCGCAGTGCAGGCCACCCACCCCCTCCAGTGGACTCCAGAAGTCGAAAATCAGGTCCCCAGTGAGACGCAGGAGGATCCAGGAGAAACAAGGCACTCGTGGTCTTCACACCTTGCTTCAGTCCGTGTTGGCCCCCTCGTTCTTACACAGCCCTACCCCGTGGCTGTGCGCGGCAGCG